TTAAAGCAAGTTTAAACCAGTTCACTGTTTACACTGCTTAAAACGAGTTTAACCAGTTCACTGTTTACACTGCTTAAAACGAGTTTAAACACTGTTAAACCAGTTGGAACTGACCTGAAACTGGCTTAACGAGCTGTAACCAGTTCAGCTCTCGGTTCGTAAACAACACTTAGAATTATCAAACCAGTGTGAATCCAGTTAATAATGTTCCCAGTATGAAACCATAATACCCACTCTAAATGAAGGTAACTGGTATAAACCTGGTGTAAACCCAGTTTACAGACGTAAAATGATTGAAATCATAACAAACCTAAACCTAAAACTGGATTAAAATTAGTTCAAATTCAGTTTGAAACCAGTTTAGATTTTAGAACAATTGAAAAAACATTTCAAACCAGTGTAAAACTAATAAAACACAACTATACAAATAAAACCATAAAAACGTATAAAATTAGTTCAGCCCAGTGTGAAACAAGTGTAAACTGGTTTGTTTCAGAGTGAAACCTGTTCAGATCAGAGTCAGACTGTTTTATTAAAGGAGTCCGTTGGTCTGAATCTTTAATAGTTTTATTAAATATTGTGATTTTGAACGTGTTTGGTCTTTAATAAGGATTTGTTGGTCAGATGAAGGTTTCAGACAGGAAACAGAGCGGTTCACACTGAGTCAGAACAAGATGACAGAATCAGTATTTGATGTGATTTATTGCAGGTTTTGGTGRCGTCTGCTTGTTTAAAAAGTAAATATTGTTCTGGTTGAAGCGGAGGAGCTGCAGAGCGTCTGTTCTTCCTGAGGCTGAGCAGTGTTTTATTTACCCGCTGCTAATGAAAAGCTGCTTCTCTGTGACAGCAGGAAGATGGAGTGGGCCTCGGTGGTCCCGCCTGCAGGAAGAAAAACCTCGCAGTCGTCAGCGGTGAGCGCCGCCCRTCACGTTTTAACGCCGCTGGCAGCTCAGACCTCACTTCCTTCAGCTCTGCTGTTTGTGTGGGCGTCCTCCTTTTATTCACGCAGGACGTAAACAGATCAGCCGGGGGGTGTTTGTCTCATCGGGCCGCAGCGCCGACCGTTCAACAACCGTTAATGAGATCTAAGAGGTTTGAGCTTTATCTAAGAACTACAGGTCCAGGTTACCAGAACCCACAGAACCCACCTGGACTGGCCCCTCAGCAGCTGTGAAAGGGGCAGAGCCTGTCTAACATCCCTTCATGTGTGTGTTGTTCAGACACGTCCACCTTTAATGATGAGGTGTTGGTCTCTGCCGTCTGGACCAGTCATCATGTAGCCATGATGATGATGAGGAGGAGGTATCTGCAGGATGAAGATGCAGCAGTCATCTTCTCCTGCAGGAGCTGTGAAGCTCAGAGCCACACCTCTAATTGAGCCCTGACGTGGGGGCACGTTTCCCCCTCACGGTGAGGACCAGGACCGGCCGTCATCCTCCTGCTGCTTCCTGTGGAGGAGCGTCTCAGCCAGGCCTGTCTGGACCTGCTGAACATGATGACACTTTGAGACAGAACCTCTGAGTCTGCCCACCTCCTGGTGTGGTTCTGCTACCAGAGTGGATGGTGTTAGAGGACGGCGTGGAGCCAGGTGGTCTCTGCGTCCCCCGGAGGTTTCATGAAGCTCTGAGGGATGAACCCGTCACAGTTAACAAACATGTCCTGCTGCTGAAGGCTCCTGCTCCAAACACTGAGCTGTTTGTAAAGATGGACCACTTGTTTGTTTTCATTGTTCAGGCAGAGACAACAGAGAGTTTAACTCATGAATGATCTGCAGGTTTTTATCTTTTTACCTGAATCTGAAATATTAAACGTTAAGATGTTATGATTATTTGTTTAGTTTTTATTAGGCTGTGTGGTATATGTGTAACAGTAGAAATGTACCCTCTACTGTCCTGTCATCAGTTACATCATCACACCTGTGTCAACAGGGCTGTGAGTGCAGACACACCTGAGCAGGACCAGTTTAAAATATTCTGAAAATAAAAGAAAAAATATAATGTTTTAAAATACATGAAGAGAGAATAAATCCTCAACATTTCTCCTCCCGCTGTAGAAAACTTACGTCGTGTCACAGGATCATTTCCTCCTCCTGCTGCTGTACGTCACACAGAGCGAAGCTTTAACAACCGTAGTTTTTTACACCCAAGTTGTCGGCGAAAAACCTGTTTTTATGTATTATTACCCACAGAGATGATAAAAAGATGGACGTTGGTTCAGTCATAAATCTATCTTGTTAATGTAACGTGTGCTGCTCTGATGGTGAAGATGAGAGCAGCAGAGGGTCAGTTCAGCAGGCAGAAGCTCATGTATGGCAGGCAGATGTTACATTTATTTGGCTTCACCACACTTATAGTCCAGTTATTAGGGCTGTGTATTGGCAAGAATTTGGCGATACGATACATATCATAACAGAGGGGTCACGATACGATATATCCCGATATATTGCGATACTGTAAGCAAGGCGATATATTGCGATTTTTTTTGTCCAAAAATTCTATTAAATAAAAACCTCTTACTGAAAAAAAAAAGAAAAGCTTTTTATGTTTACTCACAATGCTAATGCTACCCTTACTCTCTGGCGCTCAAGAGGTAGAGG